GGCCCATCTACAAGAGAACCCTGACGGCCTTCCATTATTCCGAGAGGAGGGGATGATGTGAGGGCCAAGTGTACGGTTATGATGCCGTATACTAATATTAGTGTAGTGGATTTTGGTAGCCGTCGGATTGGTTTCAATCCGGACCACTCGCTCCTGTATATAAGCTAGGGCTTTTGGGCTAATTGATATGCACATTTCTGTATTCCCTTTCCATATTCCATGCACTCACAGCACATATAGAGAAACTATTATATAAACCATATATTAAACAAGTAATTCAAACTATTATAGAAATTATTATGTAAACCACGTACTAAACTACTTAATAAACTATAAAGTATAGCTGTTATATAAAACATATATTAGTTTCACTTTTTCTTTAACCAAAACTGATATTAGTTTTAAACATAAGGTAAAAAATATAAATTATGTAAAAATTAAATTATATACCTTATAGTGATATAGATAGTAATGTGTAACAATAAGCTGAGCAATAAAAGATAAATTTAAACTTATATTGACCAACATAAAAAGGATAATAAATGACCTTCTACTATAAATTGAGTTTAGAAAGTATGAACTAGTGTAAATGATGATATTTCTATAAAAAAAATTAAAAGGTCATTCATTTATTCACTTAAAATCCCTTCATTATTTGTGTGACTCCCTATTTCCTAGAAAAAAATTTAGTGTCAAGATCTTTTACTATAAATTGAGTTTAGAAAGTATAAATTAATGTTAAATGATCCTTTTGATGATATTTCTAAAACAAGGATTGAGAGGTCATTGACTTATTCACTTAAGATCCCTTCACTATTTGTGTGACTCTCTATTTCCTAGAAAAAATTTTAATGTCAAGACTTTCTACTATAAATTGAGTTTGGAAAATATAAACTGATGCTAAATAAACCTTTTGATGATATTCCTAAAACAAAAATTGAGAGGTCATTGACTTATTCACTTAAGATCCCTTCACTACTTGTGTGACTCCCTATTTCCTAGAAAAAAATTTGGTGTCAAAACCTTCTATTATAAATTGAGTTTGGAAAATATGAAATTGGTGCTAAATGAACCTTTTAATGATATTCCTAAAATAAAGATTGTGAGGTCACTAACTTATTCACTTAAAATCCCTTCATTTGTGATTCCCTATTTCCTAGAAAAAAATTTAATTTCAAGACCTTCCATGAAAATAGCACTAATATAGCATTATTAATGTCAAGGCCTCCACTTAAAAAATTGAGGATGTTAATCCAGGAAACATCAACAATGTTGATATGTGTGGTCAACTTTATCACATGCAGCAAGAAACATTATACCCATAACCACATCGTTGTTTTTATCCTTTAACACAAATAATAATATCATCAACTTCCATTGGAATAGAATTATCTCCTATAGAAAGTGGAAATGAAGCATATGCAACTACAAGTAGGAGAAGTGATATTTTATAGCATTATGCTAATCAAAGATCTTTATCAAAGGTGGCTAGGGCAAATGTGTAAATAACTCTCACAAAATGTTGATGAAATACTAGCTATAGTATATCTAACTTAATCCACTTTAACATATTTAGCTTTGTATGAAGCAAGAGACTCCGAAAATGAATACTAATTTGTATAACTAACTTAGATGGCCCATAATATAAACAACAAAATTGCTGAAATGCATTATCATAGTTGTCAACATATCCAAATATGTGCTTAAAGACACTCCCGAGTAAACTACAATCCATATAAGTGGTTATACTTAAACCATTCAATGTTATTTCTTGGAAACATGTGGGAAACTTGCATAAATGCTAAGGATCATTCTAAGAATGATAAGTGGCAATTATTGTGAAGTGATAAAATCAATTATATACATCGTCCCTAAAATTTCCATAGAAGAATTTGGCTAGACATGAGGATTGACAGCAAGAATAGAAGAAATTGCACCACATGCTATAAATGTTATCATCAACTGAGTTTGATTGATGAATTGCAATTGTATAGTATTAAACAACTGCTCTAGCATCAAAGGAGGAGGAGGCTGTTGCAAAGAAGTATGCTACTTTGCCATGAAAATGAACAAAAAGAAGAGGATAAACAAAAAAAAATTACTTAAAAAACTATAGAAACAAAAAAGATATAGACAATGCAAGAGTAAACAAAAAGCTCTTTAGGAACAATTAGAATTACCTTTCACCTCCACTAATGTGAATGTATGAAATATAGAAATAGATTATAGAAATATGCATATTTAATTAGCCTTAGCTTATATAACAATAAAAGGTCTAGATTGAAACCAATCCAATAGATATCAAAATCCCAATATATTAATAATAGTATATAGCATCATAATTATACACTTGGACTTCACACCTATGTAATGTATATATATATATATATATATATATTAATAGTGTAATATATGCACTGTCAAGTTGATATTGAATCGAGGCCATCTATTTTTATATACAAATAAAGTGGTGGATATGAAAACTTTTAGTAATGTTTTTCTTTAGTGTTCAAAATTGTGCTTTTATTTTGTGATTCCCTCATTTTTTAATCTAGATTTATTGTAGATTTTTGCCAAATATTGTAGTTATCAAATCTACTCTTCTTTTTTTATATATATCTTTATTGATTCCTTATTTCTACTATGTTACACTTTTTTCAATTGAGGAATGTATTGTTCAAGGTTATCAATATTACTCTATTGTCTTTATTAAACAACTTTGTTTATGTGATCGTGCCATATATAGATCAAATTTCTGGTGTTGTGACTTGAATCTTTGATGTATTATCTTCAACTTTCATTACATGATTTTTCTTATTCTTGGTGTCCAACCATCTCTTGCTAATGTGGAGTGTGATTATATACAATGAATGATATAATCTGATTCTTAGAGGATGTTAAGAAGATTGAGTTTATGCACAGATGAAATTTATGAATTTGAGTGAATTTTTAATTGTGATGAGGATTTTAATTGTTTTAAGGCTAGCTTTCAAGATAAGTTGAAAATTTTATAAGATAGGTGTCAATTCCTAAATTTATCATATAAGCTTTTCTTTTTATCTTCTATTATTTCTCAGTTTGAGCCACTTTCTCATATTTTAATGTTTATTCCTCACCTACTTCTCTTAAAACATTATTCACTTTTGACTTTTATAGTTTTTATTCTTTATATTCCTTATACTGATTTAAATGTTGAGAATATATGTGGAATTGAGAGTCTTACTTTTGTCTTGTAAACAAAAATTTTGATCTATTTCAGTATTGAGTATTTTTCTTTTAAAGTTCTTTTTGTAAAAGTTTTAAATTGAGTGTGTTTCCTCTATTGTAAGTACTACTAAAAGTCTTTGTTAAAAATGTGAGTTTAACTCCTAATGTGCAGTGTTGGACAAAGATAAAAGTAGTAAGTCTAAATTAACAATGATTTTAGAGATTGGTTGAATGAAATATGTAGAAATTTGTCATTTGCTACAATAATGTTTTATATGTTATAGTCACCCTCAAAATCCCTTGCTTTAGTTTACAATTATTTCTCTGAGGTTGGTCTAAGCGTAATTTGGCACATGGGATTATAACTAGTTCATTGGGATTCTATAATTAATTAATGTTTTTTGGGATTAACAATTAACTTTCTGGTTGTGTTTGGCAGTCAATAATCATCAATAATATGTTCCACTTAACTTATCATCATCATCTAAGATCATCTTGAATTATGGCAACCAAATGATCACTCAACAAAAGCTCCAAATATTTCACAAGACTTATCATCATCATTTATTGCATAATAATTATTATATCTCAAGTTTATCAATTCTAGCTTTTAGTTTTTCAATTACTAGACAATAGATAATGATGATGATGTTTGTATTTGCATAGCAAAAACTCTATTAAGACCATCAACTTGCCTTTAGTCACCATGTTTTATCACCATTCGGTTTGTCATGATAACAATTGGACAATTATTAATAATAGCTAAGAGGCAAATGGGCAACAAAATGACAAAGGAATCACAAACTAAAGGAACAAAGAATAATCAAATCTATAAGTAGCTAGAGGAGTAATTGTATGTCTAGTTAATATCATCCCTACCTTTTATGTCTTCATATCTACCAAGATCTGTGTGTAGTGGCCATAGTCGTCATTGAAGAGGCACGAGTTGGAGTAGTAGTCATACCAGTGGCACTCATAAGGAGAAGTTGTAGTTATGAATCAACTACAATTACTCCTCTAGCTACTTATAGATTTGATTCTTTTTTTGTTCCTTCAATTTGTAGTTGCTTGGTCATTCTCTTCTTCATTTGCCTCCTACAGCTGCTACTAGTGATTGTCCAGTTGTTATTGTGATAAACCAGCAAAGCTTATGGTGGTAGAACATGATGACTAAAGGCAACCACAAAGCTTGTGCTGTGCAAATATAAATAGCTAAGGAAGCTCTGTTCTTGAAGGAGGCATTGATTGTCTGTGAAAATCAATCAGCAAGTACTTGATTTCAAAGAGATCAAGCTTCTTTATTGAAGATGGGAGTAACAAGAGGAAAGGAGAAAATTGAGCATACTGGGATGCAATATGGGGACAAGGTGGCAATAGGATCCAAGCATAACATTGAGTCCTGAGGGTTCACCAATGCATGTCACATGCATTGACATATTTTGTGAGCGATCATCTTGAAAGGATTAGAGAAATTAGAGTAAAGGATCAATCAAGTAGTCCTTCCAAGCATCACTTAATCTCCCGCCATGGCTACAACCGCTAAGAAGCCTGAGTAGGACAAACGCATCAGGCAGGAATCCTTCAAGAATCATCTTACTCATTATCTCAAACGCATGAACAAAGCAGCCATTGAGAGCATAAGCTGTGAGAAAGACGACATTGGCAGTGGCGTTGTGAAAGGGCATCGTATAGAAAAGCATCCCCAATTTGAGCATTTGCAAGACGTCCAGGATACCACGTTGTGCGCAGCCATCTCTTCAAAACTTGTGCAAGCATCTTTCATGTTATGCAAATCAATATAGCGCAGCATCCACGCCACCAGGACGCGGCCAGTTTGGGCCATGGCGGCGATCATGGACGTAAACCTCCCATTCAGGCATCCGTACAAAGAAGTCGTCTGTTTCATTGATATGCCCCATTTGGGCAAGCACTGTGACTGCCAGAATCCACGACATTGTGTCTCCCGCTGGCATGGATAGAATCAAGGAGTAGGCTTCCTGCCCTAGGAAAGAGCCTATCATCGTGTTCCACGTCGCGGTGGTTCTTAGCGGCATACTGTCGAAGAGTTCTTTTGCCAACTCCAAATGCCAGTTCCCACGACATCCCGGCCGCTCATTTTCTCGAACATGTCGCACAAACGGTCGAGATCGCCGGCGCGGGCGTAGTGGCGTCTGACTGATGCTCCGCTAAGGTCATTCGCTTTTGTTCAGCTAGTGCCAAAGGTCTTCCACTCTTTTAACATGTACACAAATTACAAGAAACTCTGTTCATGTGGAGTCTAGCGAAAAGACTTTCGTGAGATACCATATGATCCCTGGACGTACACGTTTCCAGCATTGAGACTGGATTCCAATCTCCGCGATGCATGAACTTCAGGCCATGTTGGTCGGGATCCATTAACCGCCCAGTTTGCAGCAATCCAGATGCCCTTTAAGGGAATGTGCCAGAGCATAACGTTCCAACACACTTCGTCGTGCACTGCAATCTGGTCAAACTGACCATTCTTAGCGCAGTACGTGGCCAGTCCGAGCCATAGCGGCAACCATGGGTGTACTTTACCAAACCTCCCATTGAGGCATCAGTATCAAGAAGTCCTCAGCTTCCGTTATATGCCCCATTTGGGCACGATTTCCAGAATCCACGACACTGCACCTCGCGCTGGCCTTTGTGGTATTATCTTAAGTTCTTTTTCCAACTCCAAATACCTGTTCTGGGCATTCACCGTAATCATCCAGTTCCAGCACACGACATCCCGGCCGCCCATTGTCTCAAAACATGTCGCACGGACGGTCGAGATCGCCGGCGCGGGCGTAGTGGTCTATCATTGTCGTCCACGTTATGGCATCTGGGGCCTTGAGTCGATCAAACAGGTTTCTCGGAGGCGCCCATTCTCGGCAAGCGCTGCGACGGTCACATTCCACGCGCAATGCCTGGGCTTGGCGAGGTCGTGGAAGATCTCCAGGGCGTGCTCCGGGGACTGCCGCATTTCCCATACATGCGGATGAGCTGCGAGACGAGGCGATCGGCCTTGTTCTAGCGATGTGGGCGTGTTCTAGGATCGCAGTGGCCAGATTCTTGGAATCGCTGCAAGACCGAATCGCAGCAGGAAATCCAGATCATCGGCATCTGGAGTGGAAGCGGCCGTGGCATGGACCGAGTAATCTATAGAAATTTCAAGAATATGCGCGAATAATCTTCCTAATTTCACGTATAAAAATAATCTCAATAAAAACATTTCCAAACACAAGCCTAAACCTTAAACCAATGCGAATCCTAGGAATATGCTCGAATAATCTTCCTCCCGAATAATCTTTTTTTTCAGGATATGCCCGAATAATCTTCCTACTCTAAGACCAGTTTCATGGAGTCTCTGTATGGGTGATCCAGCACCACTAGAGGCAAGATTTGCATCCCATCGCAACATCAAACCACGGAGTGGAAGATGGAAAGAGGCCATTTTTAACAAGAGTGTCAAGGATGCGGTGGAAGAGGAGCAGCAAGAGAAAAGCCCGGCAAATGTGAGCAAGTACGCAAGCCTCATTAGAAGCTGCACGGCCACGAAAAATCTAAGCGACGGGCGACGCCTCCACCATCACATAGCATCGCACCCCAACTCCAAGTACAGAAAGGACCGATTCCTGGGGAATTTGCTCGTGAACATGTACGGCAAGTGTGGCTGCGTCGACGAGGCTCGCGCGGTGTTTGACGCTATTGCCCATCCGAATGTGTTCTCGTGGAACATGATTCTTGCAGCATACGCCTTGAACGGGCATTTGGACAAAGCAAAATCCACGTTTGAAAAAATGCCTGAGAAAGATGCAGCCTCGTGGACGTGCATGATAGCTGCATATGGTCAGGTGCGCAAACTTTTTGAGGCTAGAGAATTGTTTGATTCTATGCAAAATCCCAGCGTGGTTCCTTGGAACGCTATCATCTCTGCATATGCCCATGCAGGGCATCAACACGAGGCAGTGGCACTCTTCAGAAAAATGGACCTCGCTGGCACCACGCCAAACGAGATCACCTTTGTCACGGTTCTGGATGCTTGCGCGGCATGCAACGCTCTTTCGGCAGGCAAAACAATCCATACCCACATCGAATCCACGCTCGGGAGCGGCCAAGTGATGGACGTGGTGCTTGCGACGGCGCTGGTGAGCATGTATGGAAAGTGTGGCGGGCTGGTGGAAGCTCGGAAGGTGTTTGATCGCATGGAGCCCTCGCGACGAAACGTCGTGTGTTGGACGTCCATGCTTGCAGCACACGCAGGGAGCGGGGATCTGGACGAGGCGACGAGGCTCTTCGAAGCAATGCCGGTGAGGAACACCGTCTCCTGGAATGCGATGATCTCGGCGTGCGTCCAGAACAAGGAGCTTGCTTGTGGTTTGATTGTTTTCAATCGGATGGACATGGAAGGGATCCAGGCCGACGAGATCAGCTTTCTTTCGGCTCTCGACGCCTGCGCTGGATTGCCGGCTGTCTCGCAAGGCCAGATGCTCCACGCGGAGCTTCTCGCGATGGCGATCGATGGTCGCACCATGCTGGACGACGTCCGGATCTCCACTGCTTTGGTCCACTTCTACGCGAAGATTGGGCTTCTTGGCGAGGCGAGACGCGTCTTCGACAAGGGACCCAGGAATGCCGTGTCCTGGAACGCCATGGTCTCAGCGTACGCGGGCGGCGGCCATGGCGCTCGAGCTGTGGAAACGCTGCGAGGCATGGAGCTCGAGGGGTTCTCACCGGACCAGGCAACCTTTGTAGCGCTACTCTCGGCTTGTAGCCACGCGGGGCTGCTGGGCGATGGATTGAGCTACTTTGCTCGTGCCAGGCACGACTTTGGGCTGGTGGCAAATCGGGATCACTATGTTTGTCTGGTGGATCTCTTGGGACGAGCTTCGTGGGTGGAGGAGGCAGAAGAACTGCTCGGATCCATGCCTTTCGAGGCCCATTCCGTGGCCTGGATGACGCTGCTCGGCTGTAGCAAACTCCAGCGTGATTTTGGACGTGCCTCTCGAGCTGCTGCAAATGCGTGGAATATGGAGCCTGGGAATGCCGCTCCCTACGTGCTGCTCAACACTACGTAATCTAAGCAAAAGGTGGCGTAGTCCCACTTTATGAGCAAAAGGTGGTGTACGTTTTAGAAGATGCCGTGTTGGAATGCTACAATTTTGTCGTGTTGTTCCTCATGCAACAAAATGCCAGCAGAAAAGAGGGTCTTCTGTAGAAAATACTAGAGAGGAAGAAAAAGAGAGAGAGAGAGATCATGGGGACCGCTGCAAATCTAGACGCAATTCTTGGGGAGTCTCTCACGATCGAGGACTACTACGTCACTGATCCAGGCGATCGTCCCACCGTTCCGCACAACGCATACGATGACGCCTCCGACACAATCCCTTGCCTCCACCTCGCGAGAATTCGTGCCTCATCGGGCGAAGATCGCAAGCGGATGCTCGAGGAGGTGAGAGATGCCGTTTGCGAGTGGGGTTTTTTTCGAGTGGTGGCTCACGGCGTGGATGAGAAGCTCGTCGATGATACGGTTGCATGGGCTCGCGGTATCTTCGACATGGATCTCGAGACCAAGCTTAAATCCCTGGTGGATGACTCGTCCGGAAGTCTTGCCGGATACCATTGCGGCGTCGTCAAACAGAACAAATCCTGGCAGGAATCGTTCCACTCCTGGGCCGACCCCAGCGATTTCAAGATCGCTGCCGAGAAGTTGTGGCCTTCCAGCGAGGAAATCAAGTATGTTCTTTGTTTCTAAGTTGATCTAAAACTTTGTGCAGGGAGATGCATTACAAGTTCTCGATGGCTATGGAGGAGCTCGCTCTGGAGATCCTCCAGCTGCTGGAGGAGACTCTGGGAGTCACTAGCGGGGATTTCACACGCCACTGGGAGCGACTGAAGAGAACTCTCGTTCGCTTCAATTGGTATCCTCCTTGCGAAGAGCCTGGCCTTGTTCTTGGCGCTGGCTCCCACACAGACCCCGATATCATCACCATCCTCCTTCAGGACGAAGTTGGAGGGCTCCAGCTCCTCAAAGACTCCAAATGGATCGCTTGTAAGCCACTGCATGGGTCTTTTGTCGTCAACGTTGGGGATTGCTTGCAGGTATAGTCTTGTTTCTTTATAAATTATTAGAGACTATTGTTTTGTTATTTCTTCCAGGTATTAAGCAACGATTTTCTTCCTAGCCTCCAGCATCGAGCCGTGCTAAACAAGGAGAAAGCTCGATTGTCCGTTGTTACTTTTGTGCTTCCAAAGGTCAATGCAACAATTGAGCCATCGTCGCATCTGGTCGATGAAGATCACCCTGCAGCATTCAGACGTTTAATGTTTGAAGAAATTATCAATGCTGCGAAAGAAATGAAGTTCAAAGGAAAAGAGGTTCTATCTCTTTTTCGTGTTTGAGGTGCGAAAGAAATTAAGTTCAATAAAAGAGGTTCTATCTCTTTTCCGTGTTTGAGAAAAAAGTGTGCCTAGAATATGCTTTATTCCTTGCTTAACAGAAAATAATTTATTGCCTGGAATATGCTTTATTCCGCGACCAAACACATTTATTTGTTCGTCTTGTAATCTTTGTCAAAGAAGAAGGAAAGCTGGGTTTGGACTTTTTAGTGTTTTTTTCTTTGTTATACTGCCGTCTCTCCGATGTTGATGCCCCAACCAGATCCCTCTAGATCTCTGGTCGACCAAGAGACTGATGGATTCATCCCACATTTTATCAAACAAGTTTGGGGAACATAATAAAAACTAGATCTCCCCGACACGCTTGACAGCTCCACAAGCAAACTCTGGAGGGAGAGAGACTTTAAAAATCAGACACAGTTGCTTTAGGCGTTGATTTTGGATTCAGTCCACTGGATTCCGATGGATCCACGCCAACAGATGTTTGGAGGAAGAAAAAAGAAACATTTGAGCTTGGATTTGGATCGCGATGCTGATACCGAGGGTCACGAGATTTCTGCACCGCAAAGTCCATGATATCATCCAGATCTTTGAACTTTTCTACGTGCCTGGCCGACCTAAACTTGCATCGACTTGTCTATTTTGCGGCACAATGTGGAAGAGAAACTGTTGCGCACTCTTACGTTTGTCTCAAAGGAGGATCCATCCGAATCTCTGCTTGTTTCTTGCGTTTGTCCCAATGTTGGACCTCTGTCACCTTTTGCCAACTTCTAACAAATAAATACTCAAAATACATCATGTTCTCAACCTCCATCCATACCATCTTTAAATCTTTCCTCTTTCATTCCTCATCCACACATATACAGAATTGTTCCTAATTATTATTGCGCTGGTAATAATACAATGGTGATTATTATTTCGCATTTGCCTGCAAGTATTGACTGACCGGGATCGATCAATATCACAGGAAATTTGATGAGAAATATATATAAAAATAAGTAGAAAAGCTGCAAAGGTTCCTCCACACCAGAAGATCAGAATATTAGTCGACTCTGGGGTCACACACAGAACTTATTCTTTTTCATCTTCTTCTTCTTCTTCCTCATTTGCGCGCTAGCCAAGGAGCAGCGATGGACTGACCTGACCCTTGAAATTGAGAGGTCCTTGCTTCTTCAGCAGAGGACACGACCACTGCATCTACAACACACACTACCTTGTCTTGTCATTCTGCTGAAAGATTTCAGGATATGTGGATTAAAAAACTATATGGAATTTATGCTCTTCTAGATAAGAATCACATTTACACGGCCCATTTATTCGACCGTCCACAAAATTCCTCCTCGAGGAAGAACAATAGTTATATAACTATATCCGCTCCTGGAAAAGTAAGAAAATCACCCATTTTGAGAAATTTCTCTACCCAAGGATAAAGAAAATCATTGATTTTATTCTCATTCCCGCGCGAAAAGAATGGAAAAATCATTCCGCGATTCCTTTCCACCGCTTTGGAGTAGCTTCCAAGTGTGAAAATCAATGATTCTGCACGTCCGTACGCTGGGCGTTTGCATCAAGTTATCAACCTTTGCAAAACGGAGTCCCTTATTATAGTAAGAGAAAAGATTCCATGTTCGAAGAGTTTGTACCGCGGGGAGTACAAAGAAACAGGCCAAAGACGCCTATATCACCGATTTAAAAACAATGGTCCTCTTGCTTCTCCTTTCTCCTACCTCTGATTTATTGGAGCATATATCGTCTCCCCACTTGGGATTGAAAGCTAGCAGGCGAGCAAATGCAAAGCGCAAGCACCACCATCTCCACCACCAAAAATCTCAAATCCCAAATCCCAAATCCAAGCTTGGCTTTTGTTGTTGCTCCACATCTCATCTCACGTACGGAACACGAGGTTTAAGGTCCCACTTGTGAGCACAAAGAGGCAAACCAACATAAACATTGTGGTCCTTTGCGCTGCTGGTTGCTGTCTGCAGTAGTGTTGGGTGATAGTGGTCCTACGATCGATTGCAACCAAGGAAAAAGAAAGAACGAAAGGAAAACGCCCACACTCGTTTGTAGCATAGTTGATTGAGCGCTTGTCTGGCTTGGTTGAATGCCCCCTTTTGGGACAACGCTGTGTCAAACGCATTCATGGGCAGTGGTCCACAGCTTTGCACCAATATAAGTTATAATCCACACACACACGACTGTGCCAGGACAAACAAGGGAGCGAAGCTTAGGTAGCTTTCATCTCATATGACTCTTCTCACTCTTCTCAGTGTGTACACACTCACAGCTAGTTGCTACTAACACAGATCTTTCTCTCTCTTCTCTATCTCGCGAGTGCCGAGCGTTCTCTCGGCGGGACTTTCTCTTTTCTACTGGCTGGTTACATGTAGTTTTCTCAGAGTTTCTGGATGGTTCTCAATCCATCAAACCAATACAAATCTCGAGCGAATGTGTCGTGATCGCCATGGGAGAGGACAGATTTCTGGAAGATCTCTCCAAAGCGAGAGAAGCCCATAGCCAGCAAAGCTTGAGTTTGTACGGAAGGGGAGCCAGCTCGGCGTCAGTGTGACGTGGGACGGGAAGCGCTACCGAATCAACGGCATCCATTGGCCCGCCACAGGCCCACCCCGACAGTCCGTACTTGCACGCGCGACCTACGGCCGACAGCGCGCTGACGTGGCTGGCGGGTCGCATTCCGGTCGGCGGCTCACCGGCTAGCGCCGGTACCGTGTCGCCATCCTCGACCAAGAAACAAACCCCCGCGTAGATTTTTCCCGTGGTTTAAACCATGGGTTTGGTTTGTCACCAAATCAAATCACACACACAAACACAAAAGCAAAAATCTCGCCCAGTGCCGTCTCCATTGAGGTCTCCAACTCATGATTGCCGGGGGGCATAAAAAAAATATCTCTTGCTATAATCTCCACGACACTCCTTTTTTGTGTTGAGCAACAAACAAGAACAAACAAGGACTGAGATGGAGATTGGGGATTTGCAAGATTTCTGCGAGGGAAACGAGGTGTGTGTGGGAGATATTTCCAGCATTAGGCAATGTATTTACCATAGCTATAGCCACAGGCAGCTTTGCAGCTCTTGCTTGTGTTTGATCTCACTGGCGATTGTCGTTAGGTGTTCGATCGGAACAGTGAGCTTTTAAAGGAAAAAAGGACCTTTCTCTCCTTTTTTTTTTTTAAAAAAAGAAACCAATTCACTGCACTTATTCGAGTGTGGGGTAGGGACTTCCCCTGCTTTAAAATCCATGCGTCCCTAGTGGGATGCAAAACCCAATTGGCATCTTTTTGTTCCTCCTGCTTGTAGGCATTTGCAGTTGTAGCGGCCGGGCCAAATTTATTAAGCAATCAGCCACTAACAACACCAAAGTAGCGCCAAAGCGGCCCTCCACCACCTTTTTGTTTTAGGGTTTAGGACAATGGACATGTTCAAGCAAGCCATCATCGAGCAACCGCGCACCACTTTGGCGGATAAAATATCTCTTCTCGAGAGCTTCCTCCGACACTACGGACCATCCACGGCACTCACTCACTTGCCCATCATGCTCGGAACCTGTTGCTATACGCCTGGTTGGTAGAAAGACCCAAACATTTCCCACTACACGCAAGATGCCCTCACTGGGCATTTTGCCCAGCAACTCCAGATTATCTATTTCTTTGCGGCTGGAATGTCAATATCAACTTGGCCTGTTAAGATTTTGCGGCTCAAGTACATGGTGGGAGCACATGGCCCTTGTTTTGCCTTTTGAATTAGATGGCATGGCAAGCTTTTGTTTTGGCACAATGCACCACCCACCGCCACTATATACTTCCACCTCCGTACGCCTCTAGCCAAAACATTCCCGTACCAAGGGGCTGCCAGGTGTCCAGCATTGCCGGCCAGGTGTCAGAAATCTACCAAATGCCTGAATGAATCCGACGGCGCAGCTTTCGCGTGCGCAACTTACCACGCGTGGTGAATCTTTTTTCCTGCCGGCCCGTCAACTTCTTTGGTGTGTAACGTGCACACACTTTAAACTTTTAACGGCGTGGTAAGTAAAGCTGTTACCTGTTTTTTTTTTCCACCGCGAGGGGGTAAAAGCAAAAGCAGTACACGTGAGGCGCCAAGAATTTTTGCTTTAAACGGAGGGGATGGAAATTGGAATTTACAATTACGAGGCCGTAAAAACCAGTTCTTCATTCGTTGTTCCCAGGAGGAAGCAAACATGCTTGACAAGCCCAAGCCACGCCACACAGGATGGGCTGCGAAAGGGAATTCTAGGTTTTGCAGCGCGGATCGAAGCTCCGGAGCGGCGGCAAGGGCCCCGCCGGCTGATCACAGCGGGGGAGCACGCATTGGTTCTTGTGTCACATCGCAGCATCGCGGCCAATCCCGGCATTGTGCTGGTAATCTCCGCGCCTAGCAGCTAGCGCGCCTAGATGCTAGCGCGCTCGCGGCGGCCTGGGAATCGATCACTCCCCTAGGCTAGGGTTTTCTCGTCCGAGACTGGATTCCTAGCGCGCTCTAGTGCGCGCGTTGGCTCTTTGTGGAGCTCCAGCGCGAGGGATTGGCACAGGGATTTCCCGACCGAGGACAAAAGGGGCTAAAGCTAAAGGGAAGAGAGAAGGAAGAACAAGAACAAGGCAGGGAGAGAGAAAAGAAAAGATATTAGGCCAACACACAACACTGTCACAGAGGAGGTATTGGCGATTTTCTTTTGGGGATCGATTTGTCTCGGCAGTGGGGGTGGGGTCGTGAGAATTGGAAAAGCTGGGACGAGGCGAATCTTTTTTTTTCGTGAGTGGAATGCTAATACACACACAGGAGGAATGATCCTAGCCACAGCAACGTTGGGTCGTCTTTTACAAGTACAAGCCACTTTTGTTGGAGTGTTATAGAAGAGGCAGCCACAGCCCAGACGCAAAAAAAATCCATCCTCGAGCTATAGCAGCGGCATTCTCTTCCAGCGACAGCGACCTCCTCCTCCTCCTCCTCCTCCTCATCCTCTTCTCGCAGGACGAAAAGCTTTTTCAAAGCGTCTTCTTCTTGGCTCC